CAGACCTCTGACACAGTGCTCTTTTGCCTAACCTATATGATAATAATAATAATAACTTTATGTATATATACATATACATGTGTGTGTGTGTGTATATTACCTCATTCAATCCTTGCAACAACCAGTGAGGTAGCTCATGTTTTTCCCTATTTTAGGAGTGGGCTTCCCTGGTGGCTCAGACAGTAAAGCGTCTGTCCACAATGCGAGAGACCCAGGTTCGATCCCTGGGTCGGGAAGATCCCCTGGAGAAGGAAATGGCAACCCATTCCAGTATTCTTGCCTGAAGAATTCCATGGACAGATGAGCCTGGCAGGCTATAGTCCATGGGATCACAAAGAGTCAGACACGACTGAGAAACTTCACTTCACTTCCCTGATGAAATTAAAGCATACAGAATTTACATGACCTGCGAAGATGACCCAGTTAGTAAGTGACTAGGACTTGAAGCTCCCAACGTAGAGGGCCCAGATTCAATCCCGGGTTGGAGAACTGGAAGGAAAGCTACGACCAACCTAGACAGCATATTAAAAAGCAGAGACATTACTTTACCAACAAAAGTCCATCTAGTCAAGGCTATGGTTTTTCCAGTGGTCACGTATGGATGTGAGAGTTGGACTATAAAGAAAGCTGAGCGCCAAAGAATTGATGCTTTTGAACTGTGGTGTTAAAGAAGACTCTTGAGAGTCGCTTGGACTACAAGGAGATCCAACCAGTCCATCCTAAAGGAGATCAGTCCTGGGTGTTCATTGGAAGGACTGATGTTGAAGCTGATGACTCCAATACTTCGGCTACCTGATGCGAAGAGCTGACTCATTTGAAAAGACCCTGATGCTGGGAAAGATTGAGGGCAGGTGGAGAAGGGGATGACAGAGGATGAGATGGTTGGACGGCATCACCAACTCAACGGACCTGGGTTTGGGTGGACTGCGGGAGTTGGTGATGGACAGGGAGGCCTGGCGTGCTGTGGTTCATGGGGTCACAAAGAGTTGGACATGACTGAGCGACTGAATTGAACTGAACTGGAGAAATGGATCCCACATGCTTCAACTAAAGATCCCACATGCTACAAAAGGACCAGGCACAGCTAAACAAATAAATTTTAAAAAAAGTTTTAAAGTGTGGGATATGTTTCAATAACAGTTAGTAGTCCATTCTTACTACAGGCCATCTGTGCTTAAGGGGTTAATGGGAAATAAACCTACAGAAGTCCATTAGACTTGAATTAGGTTCTATTCAACTTAGCAGGTGTCGAAAAGACTTTATATGTATATAATTCCTTTTCTCCTCACAATACCACAAAGGAACTACTATGATTTCTAGTTACAAAAAAAGAGGTCCCAAATCAGGATATAAAGACACGCAGTCAAATCTTAGAGCCTACCTTAACCACTTACCACAAAACCATGATGGAGAGATGGAAGGCAGAGAGTACATCGTGAAGATGCTGCAACTGGCCAAGAAAGGAACTGTGGGGCCTAAACAGAGGTGATGACAGTGGAGAGATAGGAAGCCAAGCCACAGGACTGAACGGAGGAAGAGAAGGATGGACGGAGTCACAGGGGACTGCCAAGATGATGAGCCCAAGCGATTGGGAGGAGGCCTGGGTCAGCAACAGACACTCAGAATACAGAAACTAGTTCAGACATGTTGATTCTAAAACACCTTGTTTGGAGTGACCACATGGAGAACCACAAGTAGACTGAATGAAGCAGAGAGTTAAGACATGTGAAACACAGCTGGGGTCATCTCCAGAGCACTAAATCTAAATTTCATTTATAAAATGAAGTGAAAGTGAAACTGTTACTCGCTCAGTCGTGTCTGACTCTTTGCAACCTCACAGACTGCAGCCCACCAGGCTCCTCTGTCCACGGAATTCTCCAGACAAGAAGGCTGGAGTGGGCAGCCATGCTCTTCTCCAAGGGATCTTCCCAACCGAGGGATCAAACCTGGGTCTCCTTCATTGCAGGTGGAGTCTTTACCATCTGAGCTACCAGATGCTGAACTAAATGCTCTTGGATTTCATCCAGTATGAAAAGCAGAATTCCTATCAATGATTGTCTACTGGGTTTTGCCTAAAAGTTATTTTTGTTGGTAATCAAGTAAGAAAAGCAATGAACTTGGATACTGTTTCAGTCAATAATACTGAGTTTCCAATATACAATTTTTACAGAAAATTAAGATTTGTTACTCTTGTATCTATAAGCTTTTGAAAATCTAATATTTAGTCCCCATTTAAAAATTTCATTTCTTGGAATTTAAATTTTTTTACTTGATTTTTGTTATGTTTTGTTTGTGAGCTTTGAAATCAAAATTTTATAAGAAAAAGGGGAAAGTAGCTAATATTTACTGTGTACCTACTATGTGCCTGGCACCCTGCATATATAATTCCTCCTTAAAATACAGTCTCATGGGGAATAGGTAATTTTAACCCCATTTTACAAATGAGGCTTATAGGTTAAATAATTTGACCAAAGTTAAAAGCTAATTAAGCAAAGTAAAATGAGCTTTACCTTTAACAGACTTCCTATTATTGGCGCTTTTATTACAATGTCGGCTAATAAGAGATGAAGGTAAATGTTCTCTTTCCCAGAGGTATTTAAGAACACTGTTTAAAGACGTATGCGCCTACCTAAATGTCCATCAACAGAGGAATGGATAAAGAAGATGTGGTACATATATACTATGGAATACTACTCGGCCACAAAAAGGAACAAAAGGGTGCCATTTGCAGAGAGATGGATGGACCTAGAGACAGTCACACAGGGTGAAGTAAGTCGGAAAGAGAAAAAACAAATCCTGTGTATCAACACATATATGTGGAATGTAGCAAAAGAGTACAGGTGAACTTATCTGCAAAGCAGACAGAGAGACACAGAGGTGTACGGATACCAAGCTGGAAAGAAGGGGGCTTAGGACGGATGGGAGATTGGGACTGATATTCACTACTTACTATGTATAAAACAGATAACTGATGAGGACGAACTGTAGACAACAGGAACGCGAGTCAAGGCTCTAAGTGACCTAGAGTGCTCTAAGTGACCTAGAGTGCTCTAAGCGACCCAAATGGGAAGGAAATTCAGAAAAGTGGCGACTGAGGTAAACACAGAGCTGATTCACTTTGCTGTAGAGCAGACTCGAACACAGCATCACAGAGGAACTATACTTCAATAAAAAAAAATTTTTTAAAGAGGTATGCTCACACTCAGAAGATCTAGTTGTGCTAACAAATAGCATGGAAGAAGGTGCCCACATTGCAGTCTGATGAGAACCAGCTGTGACTTTAAATCTGAATTTTGCCATATTCAATTTGTAGCATTTGGCAATCTACTTAACCAATCTGAGACACAATTTTCTCAGCTATAAAATTCAGAATTGTAAACGGTCATTTACAAGGTTATTTTGAGGGTCAAGAAAGAAGAGAAAGCGCATCCATGAAAGCATCAATCCCATGCCTGTTCAGGGTACTTAATAAATACGTTTCCTTTTTCTTTCCAAAAACTTTCAGTCCCTGGAATTTATCACTGCTATATAGGCTTTGTGTAAAGAATATTTATCATTTCTCAATTATTATGTTAATGGTCAGCTTTATTGAATTTGAATTAGCAGTGCACATTGAGGGGGGAGGGTTTAAATGAGCGAGGCAAGTGACTCATTTTAAATCTTTGATAAGTGGGCAACTAAAAACATAACCATATGAAAATTAATTATTGGTCTGCTCGGCATGAACCCATTAAAATTTATAGGTGAAATAAGTTCCATATGCTAAACATTGAGCACATGCAGGAAACTAGAAACCCATACCTGCAGCTGACTCACTAACGTCAACTCCCAGCAAAGCCAGCACCTCTGATTCATTCATTCATTGCACAATAAATTTCAACTAAATGGCATACATATCGAACAAAGATTTAAATTTATAAGTAGGTCTTTCCTGGGGCAAAAGGTGAAACAGCTTGTTCATAAGTAAGCAAAGATTCTAGAAAGAGCACTGCTTTGTAGCCCTTTCATTTTTATAATTGTGACTCCATCCTTTCCTCAAATGCCCTTTTTTTTCCCTCATCAAAAAAAGTACTCCAAAATATATGTGATTAATTCATTTTCATTAAAATGTAAATTTTAAATGATAAAGCTTAATGTCTCCCAGGGGTATTCAACTACACTGTAACTGGGAACCAGATCATTGGCCTAAATGAAAGGAATGAGATTCTAGTAGTGAATGCTAAGCATCTGCAAAGCCACAAAAAAGTTTTTGTCATAAGAGTCTTTGTGTTACTCCCCAAGTCAACTCAATAGGTCTCTTAAAACAGGATACCCCTGAAGCGCCCTTATCCAGTCCCCCAAAATACTCATCTCATAAAGAAGGTGCTCATTAGGGTCACAAGGCCCTCATTCTGCTTGTGCGGACACCACCATCACCACCACTACAATAGCAACCAACTAGCCTTAGCTTCCTTGGATTCTGATCCTATTGTGAAATTAGGACTATTGTTAAAGCCTCGGCGTGGGTGAGAATGAGTTCACGCCCAGGAAGGGCCACTGGGTGAGGAGGAGCCGTGACTTCACTACTGTGTATGAACCCAACCCCTTTACTCAGAAAAGAGTAACAGCTGCCAGTAAAACAGAGGACAGTCACAGCAAAGTTAATTTTAAGTTCAAAAAGGAAACTCCTGGGGACTTCCCTGGTGACTTAGGGGCTTAGACTCCCCACTTCCACTGGGGACTTCCCTGGTGATTTAGGGGCTTAGACTCCCCACTTCCACTGCAGGGGGTGTGGGTTCGATCTCAGGTCTGGGAACTAAGATCCCACACATGCTCTGTGGTGCACCAAAAAACAAGGGGGAAAAGAAAATGAAAGTCCTTCTGGGACTGAACAAGTCTCTGTAAAATGTTTCCCACTAGAAATTCTATCTAGACTGGCAGAGTTTTTAACACAAACGTGTAAGCCTCCCACACCCACCCCAGGCAGAGGAAGACAGCTGAGCTTCCCTCATGTAACTTACCTGAGATCCATATCTCCATCCACCCAGAAGGTGAAAATGTTTGAGACGGTTCCCCCTGGGCAACACCCCATGATGAGGACAGCCATAGCTTGGAGGGGCTTCAGAGAGAAGCTGATGATCAGGAGGTAGGCGATAAGAGGCATGAGCCCAAACTGGCAGAGCAGTCCCACAGCGATGCCCCAGGGTCTCCTGATGTGCCCCCAGAGCTTCTGGACCTCCACAGAGCATCCCAAGGAGAACATCAGTAGGCCGATCATCAGGGCCGACACCACCGTGAACACCACTTCCAGGTTCCCGTACGCCTTCAGGCCCTCCGGCAGCTCCTCCGCAGAACTGTTGGCCGGGCAGGCCGAGCCGCTGGAACAATTTGCTCTCATCTCCTTATCTCCTTAAGGCAGCATCACAAATGAACGTCCTGCTCTGATGGCTGGGCAGGTCTATCCTGCTGTATTTTGTAATAATGCCACCAAGTCACACGAGGAGGATCATTCCAGGAGCCAAGGGCCAGCCAGGTGATTCACCCTAATTTGGTCAATTTATTCACAAGTGGTATTATAAAAGTAATTATCATGGCCAAGAAACATAATAAACTGTGGTAAGGAAGGCTCTCCACATCTACTGATACTCACCGGTGAACATTTAAGTGAAACGAGACAGGCAAACTTACTGTCAAGTGGAGCAACTGGTGCGCCATCAGCAGTCACGTTGGATCCCAGGAAAGGAGGCTGGTTGGCAAGACATAATTTCTCCAGATTCAGGAGGGATTTCCAAGAGCCAGGATGCAATGTTTTGCAGAGAGAAAGGCTAACTCTGGGGGGAAAGAAAAAAACAAAGGCAGCTAAGCCAAAGCCACACTTCATAGCATGAGCAAAACACTTCAGCCTAGAGAATTCTATGAGGAGCACAGAGGAGCCTGGCGGGCTACAGTCCATGGAGTCACAAAGAGGCGGGCACAACTGAGTGACTAACACTTTCCCTTTCTGTTGAAGAAATTAAAACAAAAGAAGGCCAGTTAAAGAAATGTCAGGAGGGAATAAGGATCATTTCAAGAGAGCTTTGGAATTAGTCTCACTTTTTCTTCTTTCTATTTCTATTAGAATGTGTGTCTAAAACCAATGATTAAAGGCCTGTAAGAGTAATACGGAGTTAAGGACCCGGTGCATCTCGTGAAACATGTGGAAACTCGTTTCTGATCTGAACCCAAAATAACTCAAGAGAAAGGTCACTTTCCTTCAGAGAACAGAGTCAGCTTTGAGATGCCCCACCCCTGGGTCTTGAGGTGAGGTCTGGGAATTCAGCAATGAGATGTGATAAAGGGCTTGTCTGGGGAAGGCTCAGGACAGAGGCTGAGGTCAGCCTGTGACCACAATGGCCTGGGGCCTCTCTGCGTGTCTTAACCACACAATCACATGTTTTGTTGGCAAAACCAGGCGATAAAAGAACGGTCCCATGAAACTAAGGCTCCAAAACAATAGACACCACACCCGTTCTCATTGAAAGCAGGAAGGATATTTGTGGCACAGAGGCTGAGGACAGGGAACACTTTATAAATGGTCCCACGTGTCTTCAGAGTGACACTAGCTCTGCACTGTTTATTTCTGGATTAGCAAATTACTTTCCATGACAAAATGCTCTGGGCATGCTTGCTGTATACAAAAACAAGCTGAATTTTACAATGCGAAATGAAATCTCACTATTTGCAGGAAGTATAAACTGACTCAGGCAACCTACACCCCCAAAAGCAGCTCCAAAGGGAGAACCTTGCTGGAAGCCATTCACAAGTCTTGTTTTATGCCCAAGAACAAAGTAACGTCTACAGCAAGCTTGGTGAGCTTGTCAGGAGACAACCCAGAACCATTTGCATTGTGTCTATGCAGAGTCAAGCAAAGAAATGGCCTTCCCTTGTCGCTCAGCTGGTAAAGAATCTGCTGCAATGAGGGAGACCTGGGTTCGATCCCTGGGTTGGGAAGATCCCCTGGAGAAGGGAAAGGCTGCCCACTCCATTATTCTGGCCTGGAGAATGGAGAATTCCGTGGACTGTATAGTCCATGGGGTCGCAAAAGAGTCAGACATGCTGAGTGACTAAACGACAAAGCAAGAGAGACATGCTAAGGTTATTTGCACATATGTGGCTGAGTCTGGTGAAGCAGAACATTTTTTTAACCTTATTTAGTAAGAAAGTATCAGATTATTTCTGTTTGGGTAATGTCAAAAAGTCCCTTGGGAGATCTTTGTTACTGAAAGAATCACTTGAACAACTCTTAGTGATACAAATGTAAGTTTACTAAGCCATACCCAATAGATGACCAAGTAAAAGAAACTATGGTGATTTGGTTTTGCCACTCAGCTCTAATAGCTGGAAAATGAAATGAAATGTTAGTTGCTCAGTCATGTCTGACTCTTTGCCACCCCCTGGAGTGTAGCCTGCCAGGTTCCTCTGCCCATGGAATTCTCCAGGCAAGAATACTGGAGTGGGTTGCCACTCCCTTCTCAACCCAAGGATTGAGCTCAAGTCTCCTGAATTGCAGGCAGATTCTTTACCGTCTTAGCCACAAGGGAAGCCCTGAGGAGGGCGCTAAATTTGCAAAGTAAACTTAAGTAGTCTCCGAAGACGAAGGTGACCTTGGCCACTTGCCTTTTAAAATATAGTGTTATCAGAATTTCTCAAATGAAGTAGGATGATTCCAGCTGAGGTCCATTGACAGGAATAGTTATTATTAAAGTCTAATTAGACACCAAGAAAGGGATGTCTGGACTGGGTGACAAGTTCCTCTGGACCCAGTTGTCTTGGGAGAGATGTCACAGGGTGATAAGACATGGTGACTGAGTACATGGACGTAGCTGGAAAAGAAGTAACCTTGAGAGATCAAGCTTGGGCACCACCATGATGTGTGCAAGGCAGCAGTGAGAGCAGACCCACTGGCCTTGGTAGAACCAATTTACTCAAAACATCCTGAGGCAGGAAGCTGATGGGCCCCTCCACCCCCGGCCCCAGGATAGACACTCCAAGATGAAAATAGCAGGACAATCAGGGAGGAGGCTGAGCCCTGCCCAGACATAAGATAAGAGACCACATATTTCTCCTTCTCAAACTCAGGAGACCTCCCTGACTACACATGCACAGAAAGACTTCTTGGAGGTCAAAAGGGGCGTGATGCTAAGTGATGCTAACTACACATAGACCTCTTTGGTGGAATCCATTGTGGCCAAGATATATGTGAGGACTCTGAGACGTACCAAATATGGACTCTGATCCAGGCAAATCAAAGTGACTGGCCAAAGAAAAAGTCAGAAGAAATGCCCCATAAAAGTGACTCAAACTACCACAAGGGCTCAACCCTCTCTCTGAGTCCACCCAAGTCTATCTACAAGTACTGGACTCTTTTTCCTCCTAAATAAACACTTTTCTTGTTTCACTACTTCTGTCTTTGTGGGAATTCTTTTCTGCAGAGCCAAGGAGAAAAGGAAAGATAGACCCATTTGAATGAAGAGTTCCAAAGAACAGCAAGGAGAGATAAGAAACCCTTCCTAAGTGATCAATGCAAAGAAATAGAGAAAAACAATAGAATGGGAAAGACTAGAGATCTCTTCAAGAAAATTAGAGATACCAAGGGAACATTTCATGCAAAGATGGGCACAATAAAGGACAGAAATGGTATGGACCTAACAGAAGCAGAAGATATTAAGAAGAGGTGGCAAGAATACACAGAAGAACTNCAAAGCTATGGTTTTTCCAGTAGTCATGTATGGATGTGAGAGTTGGACTATAAAGAAGGCTGAGTGCTGAAGAATTAATGCTTTTGAACTGCGGTGTTGGAGAAGACTCTTGAGAGTCCCTTGGACTGCAAAGAGACCTAACCAGTCCATCCTGAAGGAAATCAGTCCTGAATATTCACTGGAAGGACTGATGCTGAAGCTGAAACTCCAATACTTTGGCCACCTGATGCGAAGAACTGACTCATTGGAAACTACCCTGATGCTGAGCAAGATTTAAAGTGGGAGGAGAAAGGGACAGAGGATGAGATGTTAGGATGGCATCACCGACTTGATGGACATGAGTCTGAGCAAGCTCCGGGAGTTGGTGATGGACAGGGAAGCCTGGCGTGCTGCCATCCATGGGTTTGCAAAGAGTCAGACATGACTGAGTGACTGAGCTGAAAGTCAAGGAGCCAGGCCCTTGTCACTGACCACAGATCTAATGGCTAGGACCTGGTGCTTTCACTGCCGTGACCCAGCCTCAGTCTCTGGTCGGGAAACCCAGCCCCGCTTCCAGCCGCTGCAGGATGAGACCACCTGAGATCACATTTGGTACCAAAATCTGGGAATTCAGAATTCAAGGTAAACCACAGACTGCCCAGCTGCAGCTTGAGGCCCCCAATTTTTGCTCTTGCTTTCTGTCTCTCACTCTCCAGTTTGCTGTCAAGACCCAAGGGCATAATCTCTGCCCATTCAGAGCATTACGGGTACCCCCCAACATTGGGGTGGCAGGCTAATCCCCCAGGCCATGCTGATTCCAATAATGCTTGGGTGATGGGTGACGCTGTCCTCTGAGACATGGTGGAAACATGATTTCCGACAGTATAGGAGCCCGAGGGGTCTCTCTCTCACTGTCCCATACGGAACCCTTCACTACAGTTTTCTTTTCCACTTTACTCCCACAACAAAGTCTCTTTCTCACTCCTCTTGCTGTGCCCTTCTAGGGAAGGATTTCCTAGATATCATTCCTAAACCGCATCCCCACCAGAGTCACAACTGGTGCTATGTCAGACAAAATCATCAGATGATTCTCAATCGTTATCTCAGCTGCCAGGAAGACAAAGCAAAGGATTTGGGGTTCTTCTGTTGTCTCGTCTCTCACCTCACTCAACACCCAGAAATCTACTTTGAGAATTTCTCTGCCTTTCAGCCCTCAAGCCTTGAAACCTGCTGCCATCTTCCATTGCACCCAACTCCAATTTCCTCAAGGGTTCTCCTTCGCATCTATCAGGTCCCTTCACTCCAGGCCTTGGCAGTCTATATATCCTATGATGGACAGCCTATCAGACTGGCTGCTACCCAGAATCCCAAATCATAAACATCACAGATGCTCAGTCAGTCATGAGAAATACACCCCAGCACAGGAAGACTTATCACGGGACATAAACTCTATAGATGATGGATCCTTCCTAAGGAAAGCCCGGGCAACCAGTCTGCACTGGTTCAAAAGCCCTTCTCTGGCCATGCCGGGGGAGGAGCCTTGCACAAAGTCACAAGGAAGGCCAAACACATCTGGTCGGCAATCAGCGGGAGAGCCTGAACCCCCATCAAGTTCAAAGGGAATTTGAGGGACAGCCGGACTCCCTCCAGGTTAAAGCCTCCTGTTAAATGTTTCTGGGATGCTGGACTCCATCCTCAGAGCGCTCTCTCATTCTTTGTTGTAGGTTTCTCAACATGGGAGAATCCCCCTCCAAGCCAGAAGAGACACCTCTGCAGTATATCCTTAAGAATTGGAAGTATTTTAATAGATGGGCCAAAAAAGGGAAAACTTAAATTCTACAGCAACAGGGCTTGGCCTTGTGTAAGTTGGGAAATGTAGAAAAATGGCCTGAAAGTTGGTCTCTCAATTACAATACCATTCTGCAACTGGATCTTTGCCACAGGATGGGAAAATGGGATGAGGTCAGGTTCTCTATAAAGGCTTTCATGGTCCTTTACCCAAACCCTGCCCTATACAACTCTTGTAATTCAAAGCCTGGGGACCAGCAGAAGACTCTCTTGACATATTAGATGATCTTCTTCTCAGCTCTCTTATCTTTCAGGGGGAAAACTGAGCTCCTCCTACTTCTAACAGTATCTCTGCATCTCCGGAGCCACATACTTCTCCTGGTCCCTCTGACTG